AATGATGAGCATGGTAATGGACTATCGGGATATAGACAATATTTTAAAAACATTTTTAATTACTAAAACGTTTTAAAATAGAATAGAATCTCGTAGAAAAAAGAATTGCACACCAAGTGAACGCCAAGTAAAATGTGCATAATATTGCGGAATATTATTAGTACCATATAAATTCACATGCGTTTTTTGAGAAATCGGAAAAAGCGTAAATTACTACTTCCGGTCAACGGAAGTTACTGAAAATTTGATAGAAGGCAGACAATTAGATCTTTTACTTACATTTGAAATTTCATTTATCTATCTGAAATAGTACTCAAAGTATAGGCTTTTGAAAAATGGAAAGTAGAAAAAGTTTCACTTCCGGTTACCGGAAATTGCTAAAAAGTTGACGCGGATCTACGATTTTCTTTAATACTTATATAGGAAATGTCATCAACCTAGCTGAAACGGTACTCAGGTTATCGTGTTTACAGACACACACATACACACACACAGACATACGGACAAGATTGCAAAATTATGTTTTTCCGACTCAGGAAGGTTTAAAACGTCGAGATTTGCAAAATCTCGATTTTTTTTTGCACGATTACAAAACTCGCTATACTTCGTATATACGAGAAAATAAAAAAAGCGATATTCTATGTACTAAATAACACAATTTTTGAATACACGATGTCTAACACTTTAAAAACGTGAGTATGAAAATTGACGCCATAACAATTCCGATACAGACGGTGTATTTACAATGAGTTTTTTAAAATAGATAAATGTACCGAGAAAATGGGACGAAACTCTCGATGTCTTATCGAGCTAATTTCCTCCCTTTGTTGTCAGAGTTCATGTTCGTGGATTTCCGAGACAATATTTCTAAAATATTTAGAGCATGAATATGGTGAATGTCATTTTTAGAACAACATAATTTTCTTTTTAGGACATCCTTTCTTGACCCTTACAGTACTTCAGGGAGAGAAAAAAAAGATTTGCTACATGTTTTTATGTATTGGTTTGAAATGTATTTCTAAAAAAAATATTCACAGAATATTAATGAAGGAGCTGTTATTTAATATAGAATGCATTAATTCTTTTGTCTTCATGATCTCCAACTGAAGAAAAAAATATGAGTCAATGTTTTAATATTGATTTGGTCGGTAAAATTTAACGGATTTTATGAGGCTGGCGAGAGAGAGAGAGAGGGAGAAATATATATATATAAATATATATATATATATATATATATATATATATATATATATATATATATATATATATATAGAGAGAGAGAGAGAGAGAGAGAGAGAGAGCTGTATGGTTCATTAATCTTCAACATTTTATAAAATACGTAATTTCGAATGACATTTAAAATAAACCGGGAGTGATCTCCTCTAAACTTTCTCGAATATTCTTATATAAAATAACAGGGGATGGGAACTCGGGCTATAGACATGATTTTTAATCCATTTTAAATACTTAAAGTTTTAAAAATAGAATAAAATCTCGTAGACAAATTAATTGCACACCAAGTGAACGCGAAATAAAAAAGCGCATAATAGTGCGCAATATTATTATTACTTTTAAAATTTACATTAGTTTTTTGAGAAATCGGAAGTAGCGTAAAGTACTACTTCCAGTCAACGGAAATGACTCAAAATTTAATAGAAGGTAGAGAATTAGATCTTTTACTTACGTATGAAATTTCATTTATCTATCTGAAATAGTACTCAAGTTATAGGCTTTTGAAAAATTCAAAGTAGGAAAAGTACCACTTCCCGTTATCGGAAATCGCTCAAAAGTTGATACGGATCTACGATTTTGATTAAATACTTATATATGAAATTTCATCAACCTAGCTGTAACGGTACTCAAGTTATCGTGTTTACACACGGACACACACACACACACACACACACACACACACACACACAGACACACAGACATACGGACAAGATTGCAAAATTATGTTTTTCCGTATCAGTGAGATGCAAAACGTCGAGATTTGCAAAAATCTCGATTTTTTTTTTGCACGATTACAAGACTTTCTCTATACTTCGTATATACGAGAAAGTAAAAAAACATCAAGTGGTTAATTAGGAATTAAAATCAGCAAATGTCTTTTTATTTTCGAGAAAAAAAATTAAATCAAGCAGAAGCTGCCATGATTAATCCATAATTTAGCTGACACGTTGCAGAAAAAAGTGCACCGTTAGCAGAAATATAAGTCGAGCTGCATGTTTAAGCGGCAAAATGTAGATTGTAGGTCCTATACAGCTTGTATTCCCATGTAGATTGTAGGTCCTAGGTAGATTGTAGGTTCCATGTGGATTGTAGGTCCTATGTAGATTGTAGGTCCCATGTAGATTGTAGGCCCTATACATCTTGTAGGTACCATGTAGATTGTAGGTCCTATGTAGATTGTAAGTCTCATGAAGGTTGAAGGTCCCTTGTAGATTGTAGGTACCATGTGGATTATAGGTCCTATGTAGATTGTAGGTACAATGCAGATTGTAGGTCCAATGTAGATTGTAGGTCCTATGTAGATTGTAGGTCCTATGTAGATTGCAGATCCTATGTAGATTGTAGGTCCTATGTAGATTGTAGGTCCTATATAGATTGTAGGCCCAGGGTAGATTGTAGGTCCCATGTAGATTGTAAGTCTCATGAAGGTTGAAGGTCCCTTGTAGATTGTAGGTACCATGTGGATTGTAGGTCCTATGTAGATTGTAGGTCCCATGTAGATTGTAGGTCCCATGTTGATTTTAGGTCCCATGTAGATTGTAGGTCAGGGTAGATTGTAGGTCCCATGTAGCTTGTAGGTCCCTTTTATATTGTAGGCCCCTTGTATATTGTAGGTCCCATGTAGATTGTAGGTACCTTGTATATTGTAGGTCCTATGTAGATTGTAGGTCCGGGGTAGATTGTAGGTCTGTGTAGATTATTGGTCCCATATTTTATTAAAGGTCCCAGGTCACCATGTTCCCCAAAGACACTTGCCTGATTGCCGTTTGCCCTAAAGCGACGAATTCCCAAATGGTCACTTGCCCGAAAAACATAAGTACTTTCAGGGATTCACTGTAATTCGGTTATCAAACCTTGAACAGCTATATGAGGAGAATTTCACTACCCCCGTTCCCCACCCCCCACCTTCCTAATCAAGTATTACGAGTTCAGCAAAAGTACTAAATTAAAAAAAAAACATTATTATTTGGAGATTTGAACTATAAACTAAAGTGTAGTAGCTACTAACTTTTTATACACTGATCTTACGAATCTCTATCGTCCCGTACTTGTCTAGTCCGAGCTAATGTTGTGTTACAAACAAATAAAACAAAATAAAAAAATAACTGGTCCTTTGTATAAGTCTAAACAATATACGAAGCGTTAGAAACATCGAACATCATATAAAATGCCACATTTGGCTTATATCTCTTTGTAATCGGTGAAAAATTAATTTCATAAAAATAGTATCATTGATGTTAAAAACACATAATCACATACGTAGAATCATAAGACTTCACAATTAGGTTAAGTTGCTGATAAATCATGAAATGTAATGTCTCTAACGTAATCCGATATCTGTCTTAGACTCTTAACGATGTTAAGATCATAAAACACTATTTTATTAGTTTCTACTGACACAACTCGTTGGGTTTCGATCGTAAGAAAAAAGAAAAGGTATAAAATAATTTTATAAAATGTTTATGTGTCTGGCGCCCTTTGAGTTCTAGATGTAGAGTAATGTTGTCTGTCAAATTTGTATGTGGGAGTTACCATTGTGTGCCCGTTTTTTACTTTCTCGTATATACGTAGTATAGAGAAAGTATTGTAATCGTGCAAAATCGACGTTTTACACCTCACTGATACGGAAAAACATAATTTTGCAATCTTGTCCGTATGTCTGTGTGTGTGTGTCTGTGTGTCTGTGTGTCTGTGTTTAAACACGATAACTTGAGTACCGTTACAGCTAGGTTGATGAAATTTCATATATAATTATTATATCAAAATCGTAGATCCGTATCAACTTTTGAGCGATTTCCGACAACCGGAAGTGGTACTTTTTCTACTTTGAATTTTTCAAAAGCCTATAACTTGAGTACTATTTCAGATAGATAAATGAAATTTCACATGTAAGTAAAAGATCTAATTTTCTACCTTCTGTTAAATTTTGAGTAATTTCCGTTGACCGGAAGTAGTAATTTACGCTACTTCCGATTTCTCAAAAAACTAATGTAAATTTTTAAAGTACTAATAATATTGCGCACTATTATGCGTTTTTTATTTAGCGTTCACTTGGTGTGCAATTAATTTGTCTACGAGATTTTATTCTATTTTTAAAACTTTAAGTATTTAAAATGGATTAAAAATCATTTCTATAGCCCGAGTTCCCATCCCCTGTTATTTTATATAAGAATATTGGAGAAAGTTTAGGGGAGATCACTCCCGGTTTATTTGTGCCTGTTTTTATGTTTTGGTTTTGATAAAATGCTTCCGTTGTATTGTCAATAATTCGGTTTCTAGAGCAACGATACTTCTTTTTCTTCGTTGATAATTGTAACGTTGTGTAAGATATTCTCCAACACAATTAAGTATTTAGTGTAAACCATTTTCACGCTATATATTAGGTCGTTGACTCAGATTTCAGCCTGCTTTGTTTTTGGATTTGCTTCCATAGCCTTTGTCCAACCAAGAACAAACTACAAGGCAGCAGTTGTTTGATTTTGGAGTTTTCTCTCCTAGAAGAGTTGCTGTCTCTAGCTATTGAGCCTCATCTGCCCAGGAAGCGATACTTAAATTAAAAAGGATCCACCAAAACATTAAGAAAATTGTCAGAACTACTGTTCCCAAAACCCCCAACCATACCTTAATATAAAATAAGATTAATGTTATGACTTAGTATTGACTGTGACGATAGAAGAAGAAATTTTAAGTTTGACAAGACTTAAACATGAGTTACATATCTTTCAGTGCCAGAGGTCCCCTTCGCTCGTGAGTTGACGGGTGCCAGGATGGACACACCCACTGCGCCCGTCCAGGCTCTATCCCCCTCGTCTCTGTTGGCCATGTCCCTGCTACAGCCGAATGGTACCGGGATGGACGTGGAACTGTGGGACCTCAGCCAGTCGCAGACTTACAGATGGGTCTTGTGGGTACAGACAATTTTAGAACCGTTCATTATTTTATTTGGTGAGTTTTATTTTTTAAAATATTTCATTCGTATAATTTCGAAACTTTTATTATTTTTTTATTTTTTTATTTTTTGCTTTTCCTTGTTAATTCATATTTTAGAACCATTTATTATTTTATTTGGTGAGTTTTATTTCATTTCTATTTTTGTTTTTATTCATATATTTTTAGAAACGTTCATTATTTTATTTGGGGATTTTTAGTCTTTATTTTTGTTTTTATTCATATATTTTAGAACCGTTTATTATTGTATTTGATGAGACGTTTTATTTATTTGTATATTTTGTTTTTTGATTCGTATAGTTTAGATCCGTAAATTATTTTATTTAGTCTGATTTAGTCTGGGTTTTTTTTTTATTCAGATTTAAAAAAAAAAACCTTGCAGTGTTATATTTATTGAGGTGAAGATAGAGCTTAGGTTTCTTGATTCAGATACTTACAACCGTTCAACATTATATTTGGTAAGTCATAACTGCAAATACATTTAATGGATTCAATTTAAATGGCTGCTCTTTCCATCCTAAATCGTCCTGTATGTGATCTTAGAATCTGATATTTAGAACCGTTGCTGGGGCTTTCGGGCATACATCCATTTAGTGACTAATTGTGACGGTTGTTTCCTATGTTAACATACGCTGAATTGATGCCAGAAGGTGACCATTGCTTTTTCTGAGGTTTAACAGCCCCTTTTCCTTTTCTATCCACTAACTGCGACAACAATCTTCCCTGTATTAACGCTCCAAGAAGGCGAGACAGCCCACTTTGGGAATATCTGTGTTAGTTGAATGTGAAAGTAAAAGTAAAGTTACCTTTTCGAACCTGATGGTCCATGGGACAAGTGAAGTAGAGTTCACCTGTTTCTGTGACCTCGGCATATTGTGGTCAGCTCTATTATCAGCTGCCTGTACCTTCCTTAACTTGAGTTAGGTACCCATCAGAGCTGGATGGACTCAGGACGGTCTACTGACTTGGTCCAGGATTCGAACTCGAGACCTTCGGGTTAGTAATCTAGCGCTCTACATAGACCACTCCAGGACACCGCATACACAATTCTTTGAAAACCCGACGCGACAGAAAGAGGACCTCACATTCAAGCTATTGATAAAAAAATTATTCTAGTAATAGCAGCTTTGTTTGAAGCGTACAACACAAAAAAAAATGTGACTTAAGGTGACAGAGATGAAAAAAAGTGTCATAAATGTAATAACAATGATGAAAAACTGTCATTATAATCCCACACTTTGTAAGTAGAGCTGTATAGCTAATCTGTAAAGACATCGGAAAAGTTTTCATTTTTAATCTATAATAATTAGATTTTTTTTTTAAACAAAAAAATGAAATGCTAATTAGACCAAACAACTTCGTCAGCGAAAAATATATTACTTGAATTTAATTAATTAACAAAGAATTTTAAAATCTCCAATCTCCAAATATATATATATATATATATATATATATATATATATATATATATATATATATATATATATATATATATATATATATATATATATATATATATATATATATATATAATATAGACCCTTGACCGGATGTGAGAGAATATAAGCACTTTGTTTACTTCCTCTATCGTTGGCCGAAATAATCACTACTTTGTTGTGTTAGGTGAATCCTATTTTAGACCCGGAAGTTTAGTACCGGCCGAGATTTAACAACATCCGCTCCCTGTGGTAGAAAAGCCGTATAGAATCTCTCTCATTATAAGCACGTCAAGAATGATCAGTAGCTTCACTTTGTCACCAGATCTGCCTCGCATTATCTGCCTCACATTATCTGCTTTACATTCACCGTCTCATATTATCTGCGAGGGCTACTTTTATTTTTACATCGAAAAAAAAATTTGAAACTAATAATGTTCTTTAAGTTTCAAAATGTTTAAAGAAAGAGAAAAAAAAAACAAATGAGGGAAAAAATCCATCGACTTCACTTTGTCTTCTGGTGAATTTTTTCTCTCCATTATGTTAATCTCTTTGAGATATTAGAGGCTGCTACCTCCCCCCGAACAACCCCCTCCCCCACATCCTCCCCCCACCCACCCCACATACACCAGCGCACTTTTCCGCAGGTTCCTCCAAATTGAAATCGACATAAAAAAAAGATGCGATTCGTTTATTTTTGTGACAACAAATTGATTCATCTTTTTCTAAATTTTAAAAAAGAAAATTGTATCTTCCGGGAGGAAATTTCAAGATTAATCAAAATAGTTGGCGAGAGTTTTGGGAGTAATTAAAGAGCAGAGCCCAATTATGTGACGCGTTGTCTAAGTAACGCGACGTCATTGTAGTGAATGACTCGTCGTTACACTGACCTTATAGCGGGGTGTGACGTCAATTTACGGGGAGGCCACGCCATTGTAGCAATTAACTCTACAACGGTCAGGTCATTCTTCAAATAGGTCCAACCTTACTGCGCTTGTAAGCAGAGTTTCTTCCAGGCATCTACCGCCCCCCCCCCCCCCCCGAACGAGATGGAATTTATATAGTAAACATACACTTTTACTAGTGTCCGCCCCTCCCGAAAAATGTTCACCCCCCCCCCGGAGAAAAAAGTCTGAAGTAACACTGCGTGTAAGTAGCTCACGCTTGGGTGCACATAAAGAAAGTGGGCGTGGCTTATAGATGACGTCATCTCTTGTTGTTGTTTTTCTTTTCCCCTTTCCTCCAACCACAGGTCTACTGGGTAACACGCTGGCGGTGACGACACTGATGACGAAACACCTGCGCGTGACGTCATGCTGCCTGTACCTGGCGGCCAAGTGTGTAGGTGATGCTGTGTTCCTGGGTGTGTTGTTCGTCGTCTGGCTGTTCCGTGTCCACGCCAGGGTCATCAACCATGCCGGTATTTGCCAGGTCAGTTCAGTTAGGTCAGCGTTGTGTTAGGTCATCTATGTGTGAGGTCATTTGTGTGTTTGGTCACTTGTGAGTTTGGTCAGTTTTTTTAGATCAATTGTATGTTAGGTCATCTATGTGTTTGGTCAGTTGTGTTAGGTCATCTATGATATAGGTCATCTATGTGTTAGGTCAGTTGTGTTAGGTCATCTATGTGTTAGGTCACTTGTGTTAGGTCATCTATGTGTAAGATCAGTTGTGTTTTAGGTCATCTGTTAGGTCAGTAGTATGGTAGGTTAGCTGTGTCATCTGTATATTAGGTCAGTTGTGTGTGAGATAATTTGTGAGTTAGGTCATCTGTATGTTAGGTCAGCGGTGTCTTAGTGCAGTTGAATATCAGGTCAGTTATATGTGATAGGCCAGATGTATATCAAGTCTACTGTTATCAGGTCATTTGTGTGTTAGGTCATTTGAGTATCAGTTCATTCAAGAATAAGGTCACGTGATCAGTATCTTAGATCAGTTGTGTTTGTCAGTTCATGTGTGAGTTAAACTGTATTTAGATCAGTTGTGTGACAGCTCAGTTGAGCTTAACTCTTCTGAAAGCCAAAGCATGTATGTGTTTTGGTGTGTATGTTTGTATGGGCAAACTACAATGTGTGTACACTTCACCCTGCGATGTTTTCACATAGTTATTTATGTTTTACAAAACACTGCGCGACCGCACAGCTTAAAGTGAGCACTTTGTTTTGACTTAGTGAGTATCGTCCATTACGGCTATCAGAATTTTCGCGCCATTTTGGACAAAATTTTACATATACCCAAGTAGTTTACTATGTTAAGACAATAATATACATTAATTTTCTAATTATTTTGATACAAATTTTTAAGAAGATAAAACCTTGAAACTTTTTTTTTAACATTTTGATAATCTCCCCTTTTACAAGAAACCTTTAAATTTGAGACAAATACTCAAATACTGATGCATCAAATGAACACATCCATTTCCTATCCTTAGATTCTTTACACAAACTAAAACCACTCCAATAGGCTTCAAAAGTCTATGAAATCATACTAATTTGTATTGAAATCTTTTTTAAAATATGACAAGCGATAAAGGTATAGTTATGTTTAAACTATCTATTTTCATATTTTTGTATTGAATATAAGCCTTTGGGATTATTTTGTTAATTAAAGTATCAGAAAAAAAACGCACTTCAAACATTTGTTGTTGATGATAAAACTACACGATATCGGTCAATGGGGTAAATAGCCTAGTAGTTTATTAATATGAATAATATAACATCCCCTATCATCACAACGCTATAACTCTACCAGAGTTTCTTCCATGCATCTCTTCGGGCGGGCGAAGCCCCCCCCCCTCCCCCGAAAAAATTCTACCGCCCCCTCGAACGAAATGAAATTTATATAATTTATATAGAAATTATATACTTTTAACAGTGTCTGCCCCCCCCCACCCCCCCCCCCCCGAAGAAAGTCTATCGCCCCCTCCCCGAAAATTTCAAGTGCCCCCCCCCCCCCCCCGGAGAAAAAAATCTGGAAGAAACACTGGACTCTACTAATCCAAACTATTAATAAACGTGTTGGCTAAATAAATATCAATATTGCTAGTTATTATTTGTTTGAATATTTCTAATCTTAATAAAACCGGAAGTCATTTTGTACTTATTTCTCAAATGTTATAAAATATTTAATTTAGGTTGAAAACAATGCTATCTGGCAACAACCATTTGGAACCAGCTTTTCAAGCCAATTGTTTAAAAAGTAAAACAACAAAATGTTTTTGAAGCTATTCTACATAATTCATGTAACCGGGCACTGATGGAATTGTCAACCACAAAGAACACTAATAAAATATATTTAAAAATCAAATCCCTTTGAAATATTATAAAAAAGACATTTCAGATCGCAATTTAAAAAAAAATAAAAAAATAAATTCAAAACCGAATGCCACACAAATCAGACATTTAGCTGTTGTTTTATTAACTCGAGATTAAAAAGTACTGTTGTTACAGGAATGACGCACTTCCTAATGCCAACAAAAATGTTAATGTAAATTGTCTATTTTTTCCAAAATCAAAATCAACTCATTTTCTTTGACAAGGGAGTTAACTATCAGGTCATTTGTTTTGTATTCAATCATAGACAGCAGTGACTCGCGTTAGCATGAATAATAAGCGGGCAGACAACCGCGAAGTAATAACATAAATATGTAAATATGTAATAAGGGGTGGATCGGTAGAAAGTACGCACACACCACACACACACGCACACACACATACATATACCTATACATATTCATGTATATATATATATATATATATATATATATATATATATATATATATATATATATATATATATATATATATATATATATATATATATATATATATACAGATACATATATATACATATACATATATATATATATATACAAATATGTACATATATATATGCATACATATATATGTATATATATATATATATATATATATATATATATATATATATATATATATATATATATATATATATATATATATATATATATATATATATATATATATGTGTGTGTGTGTGTGTGTGTGTGTGTGTATGTATATATATATATCATTCTGTCGAGGGTTTAAATTAAAAGTTAATAACCCAAATGAAAAAAAAATAAGGAAACCTTGTGAAACCCTCACCTATTTATTGGGAAATTACCTTTCCCCAAGGCTATCCGCACAACTCCGATGTATCTTCATCATTTCAAACGAATGAAAAACTAATCAGAGGTGTGCAGTCAAATTAGAGTGTGGGAGGATTTGATTACCACTAACCTCATTTAATTGACAATGCGGTTTTTTGTGTCTTCTTTAAGATGAACCTATCTAGTTGAAAATTACTTTTGTTTTCTAGTTAAAACTTCGTGTAGGAGTAACTTCACTAAGGCTTGATGTGATTTGTGTCTTTAATTTCTTTAAGCTTCAGTTGGCTGTACTTTCCACCTTTTTTATTGATAACTCTCTCTAGGGCGTGTTTGTGAAAAAAATCTTTCTAGGGCGTGTTTGTGTTACTAAATATTGGTCGTTAAATGAGGCGCGTGAGCTCCACGTGAGGTGGTGCGTGAGTACATCTGGTCACTGCGCTTTCAAGACCACCCCGACTCATACAATGAGGTCAACTACCCACAATTCTATCGCCTTGAACGCCAGAATAGGACTGTGCGGTCGGGCGATAGAGATCGTGATTGCTAACTCCGAATGTCCGAGGGGCAAATGTGACACGTTTGCTGGGTACATTAGCCCTAAACCATCAGCTGTCTAGGTGCATCAGCCCTTCTAGGAAATGAAATTCCAAAAAAAAATTACTTAGTACATCAGCCCTTCTAGGATAGGAAACTCCAAAATCAAACAACTACTGACTTAGAACATCAGCCCATCTATTAGAGGAAACTTAAAAAAAAATTATTATCTGGGTACATCAGCCCTTCTAGGATAGGAAATTCCAAAATCAAACAACTACTGCCTTAGTACATCAGCCCATCTATGAGAGGAAACTTTAAAAAATTATTATCTGGGTGCATCAGCCCTTCTAGGAAATGAAATTCCAAAATTAAACAACTACTGTCTGGGTGCATGAGCCCTTCTAGGATAGGAAATTCCAAAATCAAACAACTACTGACTGAGAACATATGTCCTTCTAGGATAGGAAATTCCAAAATCAAACAACTACCGCCTTAGTACATCATACCATCTATGAGACGAAACTTAAAAAAAAAAATATTATCTGAGTACATCAGCCCTTTTAGAAAACGAAACTCAAATAAAATCAAACAACAGCTGTCGGAGTATATCGGCCCTTCTGGGTGAGAAAACTCCAAAATCAAACAACTGCTGCCGTGTAGTCTGTTCATGAGTGTACAGAGACTACAGTCTGAGTCAACGCGTTACATGTTGCATAACAAGTCGACACGTGATAATCAACTGTGTTGGAGGAAATCACCACTAATATAAAAATAAACCGGGAGTGATCTCCCCTAAACTTTCTCGAATATTCTTATATAAAACACCAGGGGATGGGAACTCGGGATATAGTTATGATTTTTAATCCATTTTAAATACTTAAACTTTTTAAAATAAAATAGAATCTCATAGAAAAAAGTATTGCACACCAAGCGAACGCCGAATTAAGATGTTCATAATGGTGCGCAATATTATTAGTACTTTATAAATTAAGATGCGTTTTTGAGAAATCGGAAATAGCGTAAATTAGTACTTCCCGTCAACGGAAATTACTCAAAATTTGACAGAACGAAGAGAATTAGATTTTTTACTTACATGTGAAATTTCATTTATCTATCTGAAATAGTACTCAAGTTATAGGCTTTTGAAAAATTCAAAGTAGAAAAAGTACCACTTCCGGTTATCGGAAATCGCTCAAAAGTTGATATGGATCTACGATTTTGATAAAATACTTATATATGAAATTTCATCAAACTAGCTGTAACGGTACTTAAGTTATCGTGTTTACACACACACAGACACACAGACATACGGACAAGATTGCAAAATTATGTTTTTCCGTATCAGTGAGATGTAAAACGTCGAGATTTGTAAAAATCTCGATTGTTTTTTGCACGATTACAAGACTTTCTCTATAGGGCCCTACTTCGTATAGACGAGAAAGTAATTAAGAACGAATAAGAACACAGGCATGATGGGATAGCGTTGATAAGCTCCGGTGTGTTTGCTTCGTGTCTCTCAGATAACACGAGGTGGTTATCGATTGTCATGTTATATATATATATATACACACACACTGACACACACACACACTCAAAATCCCGTACACATACTAGCTCACAGGTACACCCCCCCCCCCCCACACACACATAGTTTCACACACTCAAACTCTCTCATACAAATACAATTACTTTCACACGCACTTTCAGTCGCGCACAAACACATACTCTCACAAAACAACGAGATCATACTCTTTAACACTTACACATATACACACTATAATC